ACACGTTACTCTCTGCTCCACAAAACTGCACAGCTCTTGAGTGAGAGAAGAAAGTAAAAGTCAGGATTGATTTGTCCCATCTTAAAGGTTCATCTTTGTGTCCTTTTAACATTCTTGTCTCCTAAAACACTAGAAAGATAAGGATACAGCTGGCTCATGTTAAAAGTAAAATAAAAATAGGAACTGTAAGGAGGCTGCTTGAGAAATTTTATATAGTTCTTAAAGTCACTTAGTCCTGATCGGAATAACCAGACACCTGTACTAGATATAAACTGAAACTCAGTGTTTATATGCTCCTCTGTTCAACCTAAACCAGATATGAAAACATTCCTTCCTTCTTTTTTCTTGGTTCATGCCTCCTTTTCTTCATCACAGCTCTTTATTTGATCCTCATCCTGCCTGAAACCCACCTCAACAAGACCCCAAAAGAAGCCACTAGAGGTCATAAAATAGTTATAACTAATATTAAATGCCTATTTTAATTTTTTTCCTCATTTTATTTCTTACTGCAAAACAAATATTGACTCATTATAGATAATTTTTAAAATATGGAAAAAATAGATCCAGAATATAGACATAATCCCAACACTTAAATTTAACTACTTTTCATATTTTAAATCTCCTTTTTGATTCTTACATCTACATTTTTAACAAAATTGGAATATATAATTTTAACAAAATTGGAATATATAAGTATATAATTTTATAATCTATATTTCTTAATTAATGTTACATAAACATTTTCTTACATCATAATTGTTTTTGAAAACCACAATTTTACAGGAAGCATTAATTTAATATTGATATTTATCTAACTATCCCCTTATTAACATTGGTTTATATTTTCCAATATACTATTATAATATCAATTTTCTTTTCATTAAATATTTGACCAAATTTTTCAGTAGAATGAACTTATAAAAGTAAAATAACTTAGTCAAATTTTTAAGGTCTTCAATCTTAAATATTGAAGATTATATATTATTAGCATCTATAAGATTGCTCTAACTTAGAGTAGCACTTGCTGTGGATGAATGTTTTCTGTCATTATTTTCTCTCCCACAACTGGTATATTTTTTAGCCAACTTGCCAATTTGATGGAAACTTTGTACTTTTTTCTCATTTTATTGATTATTACATTGTGTATGTGTGAGACTGAGCATCTTCCTAGTATTTTTTGCCAAATTTGTATTTCTTGAATTGCTAGTTTATGCTGTGATCCTATTTTTTTCTATTAAATAATCAGTGGAATTTTAAAAATCAATTTAAAACACTTCTAAAATTATTACAAATATCAGCTCTGTCATGTTTCATTAATGTTTGTGTGAGATGATGAGAAATTAGGATAGCAGGCTCAGGGATGGACAGTGGGATGCCATTTTAATTTGGAACTTCTCTTTTGATGATTATTTGTTTCTCCACATTCTTCTGATGAGATAAAGCCTTTGCCAATGGGAATTGGCTCTTTTTCATTCATAGGGGATGAGTTCCTTTTGATATTTCCTCACTCTATTTTCCTGCAGAGTCACAGGTGGTGAGAAATTTCAGAATAAGAACAGACTAAATCAATCTCAACTAAACACTTTCCCAAAAGGACTATCTTTATCCTTTTCAATGAGCCAAACATAAACAGGCTTTCACCAAGAAAATAAATTACTTATTTGTTCTTACATTTCAACTGCATCAGTTCCTTGGAATTCTTTTGGGGGATTATTCACACTTTCTGCAGATAGGAATAAAGGTTCTTAAAAATCACAAAGAAACAATCACAAAGAAACAAAGAAACAAACACAACACAGAGTTGTGTTAAACAAATCAATTAGACTTCAATTATAAAATTATGTTCATATTCTTTCAGAAGGGTTCTAAGTACTATTAATAAATTATTATTTATCTCATAGTAAATAGAGTTGTCCATAATTAGGATTGCAGCTTCTAGAAGTGTCACCTGTCCAGCAGGTATCTAATGTGTCCACTGGGAGAAGCTGACAGATTCAGGAGTTATAAGTTTTTGTTTTTAAGATAGCTGATTGCTCTCTTGAGCACAGAGGACAAAAATGTAGCACACACAGATGTCAGTCTCCTGAGATGCTGCACTTAAAAAACTGCATGGCTGGGAGAACACTCTTCTCTCTTCTGCATGGCAAGGAGCATGAGTCCAAGATTTGCATTTTTAACCATATGATACTGTTATAGTTTGTCCATCTCTAGGTCTATTATTCTGTCATCTCAGTGTTCTATCAAAAAAGTTAAATGAACACTAAGCTATAGCAAAAATGCATGTGTGGTGGGTTTAATTCCAAAATTTATCCTGCTTTGGAGAAGATTATCTCCTTTTTAAGGTAATAGTATACAGAAGATAAGTCTCAAAAAATGTCCTCACCTCTTAGTCAATGTTCATTCTGCTTTACCTAGCCCTTCTTAACAACTTCTGCCATTTCAAACCATAAGGACTCTATGGCTACTTGTGACATTATTTGGAGATACTAAAGAACACTCAGAACAGTCCACGAGTAGCACTAGAAGTCCTGCCCTAAATCAGGGCTTGAGAGAGCTATGACCTAGCCAAGAGAATAGTTACTAGGGTGCTCACTAAAATACTGAGAACCATTTGGCCTGCCCCATTATGTGAGAAATAGATTGTTTTACCTTGTATGGTCCCATATCATATTACCATGGCACTAATGCCTTCTTGGCTGCCCAACAGAGTTTAGTGATTCCTATAGTCTCAAACTAACCTGACCCACCTAGGCTAAGAGTAACCTATATTAATGAGCTGAAACTCTTAATCTGGTGCAGTTTCACTGGCTTTTTGATCTAATATGCTTCATACATTCTATATCTTTATTGTTAGCCTAATTCTCACTCCTCCACTGCCCTAAGTGTGAATAAGTTGCAGGCAAAGTTGTAGAATACTGTGTCTACTACTATACTTCCCCCTCAACTTGGCAAGTTTGCTCCTTTGTTGTCATGCCATGGACTGCTTGTAAAAGAGAATCCTAAAAAACCTCCAAAGCCAGGTGAACACCCCCTAGATATAGTTCATATGGAGACAAAGTATAATAGAACACAAAAGGCCAGCTGTTCGCATAGGAAGGAAGATGGGACACATTGTCCAGTTTGGAAAAGCAAAATGTCATGGATTGTTTCAAGGTATACCAGTCAGTTTTTATCTTCCCCAACAATGGACACAGGAGTCATGAAGTTGAACAAGACACACATTTGCAGCTGCATCAAGGAAGCAGAGAAAAATTTAACCAGCCTGCAGCATTGTTTCCAAGTTTCTTTGAGTAACCAGAGAGACTTTTAATTGGCAAAAAGAAATGCCCTGCTAAGCAGCTTGACTTCAAGTCAGCTGACTGTTTCATTAGCTGGGACTGGGTGGTGTCAAAATACTGGGAATTGTCCAGCAGATTGTTAGGAGATGCTGGAATGGCTCCCAGCTCTCCTTTTGTTGCATCCAGGAGCCTGACTGGTTATGGAAGGGGGGTAAATTAGTGAGAGATACCTCAAAGAAACTGTGGCAGTCTTAATAGCAATTCTGCACTATCCTCTCCTCAAACCTAGCATCTTAAAATTTCTGGAGTTCTTTTACCAACTGTGGAGGTGTCAAGTGCCCATCACTACCATGCTTTCCCATCTCTACAGTCCTATAGCAGTCAAAAAATACTTATTTGCTTCCTAACTAGGATGAGGACAACCAGTACAGTGCCATTCATTAGACAAGATCCAATATGGAAGATCCAACAGGATGGTGGTAATGATTATGACCACCAATGCCAACCAGATGATACAGCAATGACCACTTCTTGGCACATAATGAATTCCAATCTTCCTAATCATTCAAAAGAATCAAAGAGGGTAAAATAACAATGTGGGAAGGAACTAGAGTTGTATTGCTCAGGCATCATTCCACCCTTCCTACACCTGGAAGGACACAGATGTACTCTTATAGAAAATGGTTGTGTCCAGAGCATGTATAGCATTAGACAAGTAGAATGCACAGCTCACTAGTTACATTTGAGCTTTCTATTAATAAGGTACCTAGAGTAACCCTCAGGTCCAATGTTCAGTGGTCAAGCACTGGGTTGCTTTGGTGTTCTGTTGTATGACTGGTTGAAGTTTGGATATTCCAATAGTAAACAAAGGAATAATTCCTTAAGTATGTGAATCATGAGTGGAGTTTCTGTATCAGGCAGTCCTATGGCAAAGCTGTAACAAGAATGCATTCAGTAGAAATCAGTATATATGTTAGGCCACATTGAATGTTAATGACCCAATGACTTAGATATGCCAATTTGGAGCTAGGCCAACCCCACAGAATGCCACCTCAGCCTTCCATTCATCTCCACAGCCAGGAGGTAAACTGGTTTTGTCTGCTTGTTTGATGTTAGTCAATTCTTCATAGGTGATGTATAATCTGCCTCAGGCAAACTGAGTGTGTATGATATACTAATTGAGTTATATGTTTGGTACACACATGCATCCAGTGGGCAACAGGGGTATTCCCAAATTGATTGACCTCTTCATTCTAGATTACAGTGACTGTTCAGGAAATATTTGTTATATGAATAACCTTTTCATTGGAATGAGCCCCTCCTGAAGTCTCAAAGTTAAATAATCCCAGAACAGATACTCAAAGATCTCCTTGAATAAATTCCAAGTTTCAACTATCAGTTTTGTTGTCTGACCTAGACTGAGAAGTTGGGTTACAGGAAAATAAAGCTAAATTATAATAAGGAATATCAGAAGACAATGTTCTGACTTAATGCCTCAGTAACCTGTTAAAGAGGACAATTATTTGGGGATACATGGGCCTTCAGGTAGCTCTCATATCACATGCTGCCTAATACGGAGGTAAATACTTTCTCATACTTAAGGTTATCTCTAAAAAACACATGATTTTCCAGAAGCTTCTAGTAAGCCATAATAAGGAGTACAAAAATAGGGGGTCATTCAAGGAAGATAAATATGCTTATAGTAAATCTCATTTTGCTTACTGAGTACTTTATGTCTTTCTTGACTGTTGACACTGCAGTATTTTGTCTGGTGCATGCCCTTCTAGGAAAAGAAAAAAGAGAGTTCAACCAGTTAGGCTATAAATTCAAAATTAATATAAAAATGAATTATTCATCCATATTTATAGCTTATGTATAAGTATCTGGCTTCTGCCATCATAGCTGTTTTTCCTATGTGAATTAATAATGAATAAAAACCTAGTTGCTTTCAAATGCCAGAACCCTTTTGCTTGTTTTTTTTAAAACCGCAAATTAAAACTTAAAAGAAAATATTGCAAGGCTAGTGTATCATATATCATTTCTGATACCCTGGGGCTGTAAGATCTCTAAATTCATCATTTCTAATGCCATTAGGCTGGAATGTTATTAATGTCTGTGAAGGAGATAACAATTAGCTTTGATTCGTGTCTTTCTCCTGATTAGAAATGGTCACTGAATGTAAGATTTATAAGAATATACAACATATAGAGGCAAAAACTCTCCGAATGTTAGTCCTAAAAATGAAAATAAACAACTTTAGAATTGTCATTTGTAATACTGTATAATTGAGAGCTTTGCACAGTGAAATAACTCATGATTCATAAACACCTCAACCTTGGGAATTTAAATCATAGTCATTTTCAAAGAGTCAAATAGTTAAAAATTCTGGTTAATTGTATCTGCTTCCTTATCTATCTAATGGACAAGGTGTAATGGCAAGAATTTGTGTTTTGGATCCAGCTAGACCTTTATTTAATCAGATCTCTCACTAACTGGATGTATTGTTATGGTCAAGTATTATCATCCCTAATATAATTTTTATCAAATGAAAAAAATTGACTCTAATGATTAACTTGAAGATAATTTATGCAGATTATATATAACATAGCAATTCAATGTGCTGATTATTAAAGCCACAGCTCAGTTTCCTGTTTTGTAAGAACCTTCTGTGTTCTATTTCTACTTCTACAAAATAGGGATATGTGCATCCTTTCAGTCCCTTCTAAAAGGTACTAACTTCATCTTCAAATCTTATTATTTCCAAGCTTTAAGTCTCAAGTATGACTTAAATAATATCATCTTGCATTATTTCCTTAGTTTTAATCATCCTAAATCCTTTTCATAAGAAAGTAGAATATAAAAAATAAATTAATAAACATGGTCTTACTTAGCTCAAGGAAAGTTGCTGTCAGGAATAAGAGAGAGTATATCTGTGACCTCATGTTTTGTCACTTGCCAAAACCTAAAATATCAGTAATAGATAATTGAATAATCTTAGTGTTTTCATATATATCTCTCAACTCATTCTTTAACTTTGCACATTTGCTTGTCTCATTTGTTCCATGAAGTTTTGTCTGATACAGACTCAGTGACTTTTTAACCCTTCTTGGAAATTAACATACTTACATAATTTTATTTTTTACCCAGTTTATTAAGGTATAATTGACAAATAATAGTTATATATATTTATGGTATACAGTGTCAAGTTCTGATATATTGTGAAATGATTAAATAAACCTAATTAACATATCCATCACCTCACATACTTGTCATTTTCTTGTGGTGAGAACATTTAAGATCTACTTTCTTAGAAATTTCTAAGTATAACATAAGTTATTATTAACTATAGTCACCATGCTATACAACAGATCTCTGGAATTTATTAATCCCAACTGAAACTTTGTACCTTTTGACCAACATCTCCCCATTCCTCATCCTACCCTAGCACCTGGTAACTACCATTATTTTATTCTCTGCTTTTATGAGCTCAATATTTTTTTCATTCCACATAAAGGTGAGATCATGGACTTATGATCTGGCTTATTTCATTTAATATAATGTTTTCCAGGTTCATCCATCTTGCTGCAAAGTACAGGATTTCCTTCTTTTATAAGGCTAAATAGAATGACATTGTGTATATATATCACATTTTCTTTATCCATTCATCTTTCAATGGACACTTTGGTTAATTCCACATCTTGGCTATTGTGAATAATATTGTAATGAACATGAGTGTGCAGATATCTCTTGAACATATTTATTTCATTTCCTTTGAATATACACCCAGAATTGGAACTGCTGGATCATATAGTAGCGCTACTTTTAATTTTTTGAGGAACCTCCAAATTGTTTTCCATAATTACTGTGCTAACTTAAACTCTAACCAACCATGTATATGGGTCCCCTTTTTTCATATATTCCCCAATACTTATCTTTTATCCTTTTGATAAAATCAATTTATACAGATATGTGATAGTCCATTGTGGTTTTAATTTGCATTTCTCTGATGGTTAGTGATGTTGAACATTTTTTCATATACCTATTGGCCTTTTGTACGTCTTCTTTCAAGAAATGTACATGTTAAGTCTTTTGCCCATTTTTAGGCTGGTTATTTGTTTTCTCATTATTAAGCTGTTTGAGTTCTTACATGTTTTAGATATTAACTAACCCCTTATCGGATGTATGGTTTGCAAATATTCTATTCCATTCTGTATGTTGTCTGTTCACTCCATTGATTGTTTCCTTAGGTGTGGGGAAGTTTTTTAGTTTGACACAATCTCATTTGTATATTTTTGCTTTTTGTTGACTATGCTTTGGGAGCTGTATCCAAAAAAATCATTGCCCACACCAATGTTAAAAGGTTTCTACTGTTTTCTTCTAGTAGTTTTATAGTTTCAGGCCTTATGTTTAAGTCTTTAATTCATTTGAGTTGATTTTTATATATGCTTTGAGATAAGGGTCCAAATTCATTCTTTTGCATGCAGATATCCAGTTTTCCCAAAATCATTTATTGAAGGAGCTGTTCTTTCTCACTGAGTGTTCTCACCACATTTGTTGAAGATCAACTGACTGTAAATGTGTGAATTTATTTCTGGGCTCTTATCCTGGTGCTATGGCTAGTCTGGAGCCTGCGGGCACCAGGGCCAGCCTGATGCTAGGGGTGAGCCAGGAGGCTAGATCTAAGGGTGCTGGCTTGATGCCTGGAGCTGGTCTAGAGCCTTGGGTAGACCTGGAGCCTAAATCTGAGAGGGTAAGGCTAGGACCTGGGCCTCCTGGCACCAGCCTGGCTCTCAGGTAGGACTGGAGGCCTGGCACTGAGTTTCAGTGAGGCAAGCCTGGTGCTGGGGTTCATGGCAAAGCCTGGTACATACTTCCCTCTTTTTCCCCTGCATGGGGGTATTTCTCTTCTTTCTGCACTATGCTGCCAGGGCTTGCAGGAGGGGTGATATGGGTAATGTAAAACTGTCCTTCTCACCCTCTTCAATGTGTCTTTTCTTATTTCTGTCCTACACCCAGGTATTGTAATCTCTCACCTGGATTCCTTAGCTTTTGGAAGGTATTTCTAAGTGTGGATAGTGGCCCATACTGATGTTCCTGTGAGGGACTGAGCACCATAAAGTCATATTTCACCATTCTGCTGATGTCACCAAGCAAAATAAATGAAATAGAACAATTCCAAATGACAAAAATTCAGACAATGGGACTGAATTGCAAGCAACAAATTGACAGACAGCCAGTCTTAGTCAAAATCTAGTGTGATGGCTGGGTACGGTGGCTCATGCCTATAATCTCAGTACTTTGGAGGCTAAAGTGGGAGGATCACTTGAGGCCGGCAGTTCAAGACCAGCCTGGGAAACAGTGAGACCTAGTCTCTGCAAAAAATAAAAATAAACTAAAAACAAAGTCTGCTGTACTAAAATGAAAACAAAAATCAAACTTTAAATGCCCTTACACAGAGAATGTATTCTCTAGGCTACGAGAACCTCCATCAGTTTTTAGTATACTTATTTCTGGCTTGATCACACATTTTTGTGGCCTGATGACTGACTTTTATGTGCTTTTTACATCATCAATCTATAATCTTATCACTAATCACTGAAGAAAGCTAAATATGAAGAAAATCACCTTAATGGAGATTAATTTTTTGAACTATCATCTGCACAAACGTGCTTCCTCATCACCACGATGGTCTCCATAAAGACAGCAGGGTGCATGGCATCTTGGAACCTAGAAGAGTATAGCACATAACACAGAAAAGTAGAAAGGCTCCACTGTGTTTTGAGAAAGAACAAAGGAGGGGACAAGAAGAGAGAGAGAGTCCTATTTGGTGTTCTTTTCAGAGTATATAATGGAAATGTCAAACGTGGGAGTGACAAGTCTCTAAGAGAAGACCTTTATATGAAATGAGATTGCAACAGAACAATGATGGAGGTAGAAGGCTAGAGAGATGAACTAGAGACATCTTTTTAAAAATTCACTAATGTAATCATCTGGCCCCAGAATTCTCTTTGTGTGTATATGAGTGTGTGTGCATCTGCATGTGCGTGCTTTCTCTAGTAACAGATTCTATCATTTTAATAATATAGAACCATTCAGTTTTCCTATTTCTCCTTCGGTCAATTATGCTAAGTTGCACTTCACAAAGAATTTGTTTATCTTAATTTTAAAGTTATTAGCATAAAGTTGTTCATAATATTCCCTTTTTAATCTTTTAATGTCTGTTGGATCTCTAACAATATCCATTTTTAAATTTGTTATATTGGCAACTTTTGAACTTTCTCATTTTTTTTTATCAATTTAAGTTGCAGTTATGACTTTTTATGATCTTTTCAAAAAGCCAAATTTTAACTTTGTTAATTTTCTCCATTTTATATTTCATAGATTTCTGCTCTCATCTTTACTAATTCCTTCCTTCCACTTTGAGTTTACTTAGCACTTCCTTTTTTAGCTTCTTAAAATAGAACTTTAGATCATCTTTGAGTAAACTTTATTTTCTTTTTTGTAGAGACAGGGTCTCACTATGTTGCCCAGGCTGGTCTCAACTGCTGGCCTGAAGCAATCCCTCCACTTTGACCTCCCAAAGTGTTGGAATTACAGGTATAAGCCACCATGACCAGCCAAGCAAACTATTTGTTAAAGGGCCGAAAGGTAGATATTTTAGGTTTTGCAGAATGGTGATATTCTATATATGTATATAATATATATGTTGAGGCTATTCCATATATAATATATACCAATTTAAAATTTATTCTTTTAAAATGTAAAAACCATTCATATTTCATGGGTTATAAAAATAGTCCCCACCAGGATTTGGCCCATGGGCCATAATTTGCTGACTCCTGCTTTAAGTCACTAATTTGATACTCTCTTTTTTTAACATAAGCATTAAAAGATAAAATTTTCCTTCTGAGCCCTGCCTAAACTGAATCTCACAAATAGTAATATATTTTCATTATAATTCATTTTGAAATCTGTATTACATTTTTGATTTCTTTTTTCACCATGTATTTTCTAGAAATTATTTAATTCTAAATAGTTGGGGAAGATAGATAGATAGATATATGGATAGATAATTGTCACTGATTTTTAGTTTAAGTATATTGTGGTCACTGATAATTCTCTTTCAGACTTCAATCTTCTGTAACTTACTGAGATTGTTTTTCTGGCTCCACATATGTCCTGTCTTGCTGAACATACCCTGTGTACTTCTAAAGAATGTGCATTTGATAGTTAAATATAGTTTTCCATAAATGTCATTTTGGTCAGCATAGTGAAAGATATTCTATGTCTTTACTGATATACTGTCTGGTTGCTTTATCAATTTCTAAAAGAGTGGTATTAATATCCTAAAATATACTTGTATACTTATTCATTTTTCTCTTTTTATCTTTCAAGTTTTAACTTATATGTTTTGAATCTCTGTTTTAGGTACCCATTTTATGTCTCCCTGCTGAACTAACACATTTATCATTATAAAATAGCTGTCTTTATCTCTGGTAATACATATTGTCTTCATCATCTGATATGATGCTTATTACATGGTATTTCTTTTTGCATCCTTTTATTATAATTTCAACTTCTATATATCTTTATATTTAAAGTTCATCACTTTTCAACAGCATATATTTAGATCTTGCTGGGTTTTTTTTCCTTTCATTCATATATGCTATTAATTATATATTAATTATTCAATTTATCTTTAATGTAACTATAGATATAGATGGATTCATATATTTATAGATATGGGTAAATTTATATCTATCATTTTACTAGTTGTTTTCTGTTTTTCTGTTACTTATTTCTGACCTACTTTCAGGTTAATTCAATATTTTTCAGAGTTCTCTTTTATCATTTACCTCTCTGCTATACCTCATGGAGTCAGTTTTTAATGGTTTCTTTTCTCATTTTAATGGTTTCTTTTTCACATCTTTGCGATTGTGAATTGTGCTGCTATAAACATTCTAGTGCAGATGTCTTTTTCATAGAATGTCTTTTGTTCTTTGGGGTAGATGCCCAGTGATAGGATTGCTGAATCAAATGATAGTTCTACTTGTAGCTCTTTGAGGTACCTCCATATTGCTTTCCACAGAGGCTATACTAGTTTGCAGTCCCACCAACAGTGTATGAGTGTTCTTCTTTAGCCCTTTCACCTAGACTCTAAGATAAAAATGACAAATACTTTGTGCCTGGACTATAACTCTCATCTCCCAATCTGCTGGCAGACATTAATCATTGATTATAGCCCACTCTCCTATTGAGTCAGAACACATTTTTAAAATCTTCCCCAATACAATATTCCAGGAAGCTACTACCAATCTGTAAGACTTAAAGCTTTAGATGAAAGTCTTTGTCATGTATGATGTTGAAATTATTATCTCTATTTTACTGTTGGTGAAACTGAGACTTAAAGATGTTAAATAACTTAAGTAATTTACAAGTGGAGAAACAAGGCTTTGAAACGAGAAAGTCTAAACCACTACTCTATGGTTACCTGATTACCAAAATAGAAGAAGGAGAAACAGAAGGACTAGAGGGGCAGTGTGAAGAAGGAGGGGAAAGGGAAGAGGAGAAATTACTAAAAGAAGACAAAACTGGAGCACCAACCTTTACACTTTTTATTTTATTGTGTTCAGTGTTTCCCCAAGCCTCAAAATTTATCCATATACCAAAGTGCAAGGATGACTGACTACAAAAAGTTCAGCAAGACCATGAACATAGGTATATGGTTTAGATGGCAGATAAATCCACATGCTAGACATGAATGCCCTTAAATCATTAAAATCAATAACTTGCTATGGATCCTAGCTAAATAAGCACATTTCTAAATGTAATCACTTCTTCTCTATACTTACATCTAGGAAGAATAAAAAACTAAAACTTTATTGAACATCCAAATTTTATATTATAAAATAATTATCAGTCTTTTTTTAAAAAGAAATATTTTTTGAGACAGCATCTTGCTCTGTTTTCCTAGCTAGAGTGCAGTGGCATCATCATAACTCAATGCAGCCTCAAATGATCCTCCTGCCTCAGCCTCCCAAGTAGCAGAGACTACAGGTGTATGTCACCATGCCCTGCTAATTTTCTTTTTATTTTTTGTAGAGAATGGTCTCAATATGTTGCTTAAGCTGGTCTCAAACTCCTATCCTCAAGTGATCTTCCCATCTCAGCCTCTCAAAGTGCATAAGCCATAGCACCCAGCATTATTTAAATTTATTTTTTTATTTCAAAATATTACAAAGATACAAACACTTTGGTTACATATACTGCCTTTGCACCACCCGAACTGGAGCTACCAGCATGCCCATTCCCCAGTGTACACTGCCTCCATGAGGTATGAATTTATCCATTCCCTCCTCCCTGCTCCTACCTGCCAACACTTGATGACAATTACTTCCACATGTGCACATAAGTGTTGCTCAATTAGTACCAATTTAATGGTGAGTACATGTGGTGCTCGTTTTTCCACTCTTGAGATACTTCACTTAGAAGAATGGGCTCTAGATGGGCACTAGAATGGGCAAAAATATTTGCATGGTAAAGGAATTTTCTTGCTAAAAGATATCACTTATTTTTTGGCATAACATATTTATCTTCAAAGCACTCTTTCCAAGTTATAATGCTATGTTATTGTGTGTGTTTATATGATTTCATGCATTAAATTGAAATAAAAACTCATTTTAAGTGAATATTTTATCTTTAATTCTAGACTTGCTGTTAAATATATGTTAATAAAATATACTTATCACTTGAGATAAAGCAATCATCGACGTGATAGTTTTTCTTAATAAGGTTTTTTTTATCCATGAGTGTTAATTATTCATGCAAATAGCTGATTTCTCTGGGAAATATGCTCATCAACTTAAGATATTTATTCTTCCCTACAAAAATATTCATTGTGGACACTGGTAAACCTAAGAAAAATAAAATAGTTGAATTTTTCCATATATGCATGCCACAAGGTCAATTTCACCTACCAATCTCAGAGCAAGGTGTAGACAGAAATTTAATTTAATATTGCTTAGGCCAGACAAAATGTATAAAACAACTTATAAATTGCTGTTCCCCTAAGGCAACCAAGAACTTAATCTTCAAGAGTGAAAAGAAATCTGTTTAATTTATTATGAAATCCATACACTTGTTAGAAAGGTGCAGACCAGACCAGTTTTTATGAGTGTTTATTTGGAGAATGCATCTAAAAATTGACCAAATCAGTAGAAATATATTAACATTGACCAACTGAGTTTTATCAATTCAATATTATCAAAAGTTGACTATAGATTCATCTAATCTGCAAAACCGCTGCAAAAGGCAATGTTATCCATTGCCATGTTTATGAAAGCATGCAAGAATTATGTGGGTAAGATGGTGAGGTACTCTATTCTGTTCTGATTTTCAAAGTAATGGGATTTGCTATTTTAGTGCAGAAGGAAACCTCTGTGCCTTTTGGCATTTGACTGAACTTTAAATACTAAATCTATCCTGGCATTGCTGAGCCTGTATTCTCTGTATCAGTATTCTCAAAGCCATGTCTATGTTGGAACAGTGAAAAAGTAAAATGTGTGATTAAGAAAATTGGAAGGTCTATTACTGCCCTCCTCCGTCACACTTAGTAATGTTAAACTCACACTCCTGAATTGATAATTTACCTATTTAATTGGAGCTTGTCCTAAAGTTTGAAATATTTATGAAAAGATCTGCTAAGCAGATTGATTATTTTAAAAGAA